ATAATTGGTAGCATCGACTGATTTTCCGGAAGGGTCAGAGTCGAGCTTTTGTGAGGGAGACATGGGGGTTTTTATCATTGACTTCCTATCCATTTTGAAGCGCTTGAGCATGTCGTGAATGTATTTGGACTGGTTGATGAATATTCCGTCTGGCATTTGCTTGATCTGAAGCCCGAGAAATAAGTTTAACTCTCCCATCATACTCATTTCAAACTTGGTGCGCATCAGATTGTTGAACTTTTGACAGAAATTTGGATTTGATGAGGCAAAAATGACGTCGTCCACATAAATCTGTATCAGCATGATGTCACCTTTGTGTCGCTTGATAAAGAGAGTTGGGTCAATCTTTCCTTTCGAGAAGCCTGATTTCACAAGAAAATCTGATAGTTCTTTGTACCAGGCCCTCGGTGCCTGTTTCAGTCCATACAGGGCTTTTCTCAGCTTATATACATGATTTGGGTGTTCAGGATCCACAAAGCCTTCTGGTTGTGCAACAAAAACTTCTTCTTTCAGCTCACCATTGAGAAACGCAGTCTTGACATCCATTTGATATAGAGTGAAGCTTTTGTGTGCGACATATGCAAGGAACAATATTATGGCCTCAATTCTCGCCACTGGTGCAAAGGTCTCGTCATAGTCAATCCCTTCTTGTTGGTTGTATCCTTTTGCTACCAGTCGGGCCTTGTTCCTGATTATCACACCGTCTTCATCTTTCTTGTTTTTGAATACCCATTTGGTGTCGATAATGGTTTTTCTGTACGGCCGTGGCACCAGGGTCCATACCTTCAATCTTTCAAATTCGTTCATCTCTTCTTGCATCTCAACAATCCAGTCCGGATCAGTCAATGGGTCCACCACCGAGGCCACCCATTAACTCTGGTCCTTGGCCCTCCACCCCTCGGTGACGAAGGCAGCAACAGCATCCCCCCGGGCATTGGCGACGGCTTCCGCCTTGGCGGCCTCGGCCTCCTCGACGGCTTTCTTTGCGGCCTCGGCAGCTGCCCTCTCAGCTTCGGCCTTCTCCGTCGTAGCTCTCTCCGCCTCAGCCCTCGCCTGCCGAAGGGCCTCCTCCAGCTACACATCTCCCGGAGGGAAGCGTCCTTGTCATGGATGAGCTTTTTCATGGACTCATCTTGTTAGGCCTTCTGAAGGCGCCATTCATCAAACCTCTGAGCCTGCTCACCAAGGGCTATGCAAGCCTGTTAAACAACAGACAAAGAAGTTAGACTACTATGCAAGTATGCTAAGTGGTTAGAAAAGGAACGAAGGAAAAAGGACTTACAGTAAGAGAAGACCGGAAGATTTTATTTTGAAGGGCATCATCGTCGTAGGTTCCGAGGGCGGCCCTGTCCATCTCTGATGTAATACCCTTCTGAAATGCCTTCGCTCCACTGTGGCGTGCATCACGGCGGTCCCCTTCACGAGGGAGAGCTGTAGGGTCTCCTGAGGGAACACTCCCGGAGGATGATCTGATGGAGCCATCGCCACCACAACATGCGGCTTAGAGGTGGAGTGTTCATCCACGATCACGACCGAGGGAGCCTTCTTCCCGACATCCCCCTTTTTGAGCCTCTTCCCTTCGGGGGCTAGACCCTTGCCCGCTGCCTTCCTCTTGGCAGCATCATGAGAGGGGGAAGCCGAGGGCTCACCATTCTTCTTGAAGAACTCCCTGACGGGCTTCTGCTTGCCCGACTCCTTTTTGCTCTGACCCTTCGCCTTTTGCTTCTTCAAAGCGGCAAAGGAATTGATATCCATTTTAGCACCTCCAAGACAACATAAGTAAATGAGGCCGAGGGGTCAAGACAAGAGAAATATGTATATAAGCTACAAAAATTCTAAGTGAAAAAAAATGGAGCCCCCGAGAACTACCTCCTGTGCTCTCGAAGGCTCGATCTAGTATGGGGTACTTCTCATCCACTCCCCCCAGAAACCGGTAACGCCGGAAGCTGAGAAGGTACAAATCCTCGTCGAGGGTAGACTCCTTCACTGACATGTGCTTCTCATGCCCCTCCGGAATAAAAGAAATCTTCCTCCCGTCCTTCTCGAGGGCAGCACTCCCTACCTTCGGATGTTGCCTGAAATGATCCCGCAGCTCCCTGGGGAACGGATTGTTTGCCATCTTGACGTAACAGAAACAGTCCCTCCAACCCTTATGGGACGAGGGCACTTCATCGAAGAGTCTCCACTGGGCAATCTGCTGGGGGTTTGCATAGCCCTCAGAGTTAGCATGACCCCCCGGCACAGGTTAAAGCTTTGAAAAAAGAGGTCTAAACTGGGAGTAACGTCCCGGAACCGGCACAGATGAAGGAACCCAGCAATGAATGAATGGCTTTTCAGGGTGAGCTAGAAGGGGGCTAGTCCTACATACTGAAGGTATTCCAGGAGGAAGGGATGCAATGGGAAACGAATGCCCATGGAGACGGAGAGAATGTGGACCGCGAAGCACCCCTCGGGAGCTTGGGATAGTAGATCGTTGGGGCCCGGTTCTATCACTAACGCCGAAGGCCCTACGTGCAGCTGTGTTACGTAGCATTCGCCCCGATCATCCCTCGAGTTGATCGACAGGGCAGCAATATTCAGCCATGAGTATCCCTCAGAAATACCGACGGGCGTCCTAAGATAAGCAACGCTGCCTTTGTTCTTGGGGGCCCCCATTCTTCTTGCTCTTCTTCGCCGGGGCCACCCTGAGAGGCTCCGGGTTGAGAGGCCGGGAGCTGCTGGCCTCACCAGCGTTGCGTGGGGGAAGGATAGCCACGGTAACTCTCTGCCTCTCTTTCTCTTCCTCCTCCTCCGCAGTCTGAACGGCGAGGGCCAACTCCTCGTCCTCGTTCACTTGCTCGAATTCTTCTGCCTCGGCCTCAGCTATGAAGTCCTTCTCCACCTCCATGGCGACGGCGGAATCACCGTTCGACGAGGCCTCATCACTCGAAGGCTCCACATCAGATATGCTCTCTAGTTCAGCCGACGGCTCCCTCGAAATATCTTGAGAATCGCTGCCGGACGACATCCTCGGTAATGTGTTTGAAGGGTTTGAGGGAAGAAATTTTCCTAAGGATATCTAAACGCTAGATCTAAAGGCCACAAGGCTAAACTTACTAAAAAAGCGAAGAACATGTAAAGAACTGACCTGGGAAACACTTTCTCTCTCTAGAAATAAATGGGGCAGAGCTTCGCTAAGACAACACAAATCGCACTAGGAGAAAGAGTCAGGCCATGGGGTATTTATAGCCTCCCCAATCCGGGCTTGGGCAAAAAACCGGGCCCTCGATGGGAAAATCATCATTACACACCGTCGCTTCAACCAACCGGTGACGCCCGCCCAGAGCCAACCAGCATCTACACGCCACGTGGACAACAACCTCCAACGGTCATATTCCAACGGTCATATCCCAACGGCTCTCCTTCACATACTAAGGTGCCCTCATCTGGCACCCCTCAGACAACACTATGCATGCCTTCGGGCTAACTCCTTCAGAATCCTTCATCGAGGGGAGCCCCCGGCTTCACAATGGGAAAACCCCTCAGGAACCCTTAGCCCTCAACATGTTGAGGACCGGGGAACCCCCCGAGGACACACCTTCCAACCCCTTATCAATGGTTAGCCTCCGGCATAAAATAACGGGACCCCTCGGGACCCTCAGCCTCCAACTTATCAAGAGCTAGGGAACCCCCCTCGGAAAACATAGGAACTATCACCGATGTCAACACGCCCTCAGCCCCAATGACTGAGGGACTCCCCTCGGTATCGCCATGATATCAAAAGGTTGCCTTCGGCAAATCAACAAGCAAACCCTCAGATCACGGGTATCCTTCGGCCTCAACACTATATTCAGACCAAAGGTTAACTTTTTCGATTCATCATTGGGGGAACTCGGTGCACTCTTTTCCCCTCATTAGAATTTTTTCCCACAAGGTTTTTTCTAATGAGGTTTTTAATGAGGCATCCCCCCCAAAATGAAAAGAAAATAGTCAGCCCTCGGCCCCATACTGAAGACAGGCACTGCTCTACTCCTCTTCACCACATTACATGTGCCTCAAGGAGTGGGGGACTGGAGGACCCCTCCGGGAAAAAGCACAAAATGTTGAGCTTTCCCCAGAACATCAACATAATCCTTCAAGTCCCGAGATGTGGGGGGACTGAGGGACTGCCCTCGACAGAACATACAAACGCAAGACTCCTCACTACTTTACAAACCACAATAAGGCAACATCAGATGACAAACACAACTACTCCCTTTCCCTTAAGTACATTTCGGCAAATGGAGTGAGGGACTCGTGATGGAGTATATGGCCCAGGAACCCCCGGCCCACATACTCCTGCTACTCTGACACAGGCCCAACAAGTCCAGGAAGCATAACAGGCCCAAATCATAGCGCCCCAAATATCAAGGAGCCAACGTTACACATATGGACCCCTTCGGCCCGTAGGCCGAAGGCTTGAAATTCCACAGTACAACTGGTTTTGGGCATACGAAGCTACTGGGAGAAAACGGCGAAATCAGTAGCCTTCGGCACTTAGGGCCCTCGGCACTGAGAGGCCCCCGGTATGAAGAGCCTTCAACTTATCATCTACAGCCGAAGGCACCTTCCTCGATAGAATCTCCTCTCCACATGCGCCTGAATCACCGTACCAAATACGACATCACATCCAAGCACTGCATTTTATGCGGCCACATGCGAGTGCCGATGCCACCCCGATTGAGGTGACCCTCGGCCGTCGGATGCTTGACACATGTCCCTGTCTAGCATTTATTACTACTATAAATAGCTGTCCCCTTCTCCTTTGTAACACACGACTTGAATACTCATTCTACATTTAAACTCTATCTTTCTTACTTATTTGCTCTGACTTCTCTCTAAGTTACTCCCCGCAGTAACCCCGGATAAGCTAACCCCAGACAGAGCCTTTTATATAAAGGATTTGCACTTTTTAAGTTAGTCGGAGGAAATACCCATTTTCCCTATTTTATTAATTTGATTTTAGATGCAAATATGCAATATCCCATTCAGCCGTTCTTAAATTTTCTTGCCAAGAGCAGAGCTCGCATAATCGTCCCGCCAAAGAGTTTGTTTTCTTCCCCATCTGCAAAATCGGCCTCTGGAATCCGGAGCTGGAATAAAGCATATCAAGAATGAGCTTCGCCGCATATCGAATGATACATTTGCCGACCGGCATAGAGAATTGCGCCTCCGGCTTTATCACGCATTCTGCCGCCGATTTCACTCCCCAAGTTCAAACGGAAGACTTTGATTCCGACTGGCCATCTTCCAAGCCGCTTGGTGCAGTCCCAAACCTCGTCGTCTCCTCTGCTAATATTCTAGAAGTATATGCTGTTAGGTTTCAGCAGGCTGCTGCCAGAGACTCTAAGCTGCAGCTGGAAGCTAAGCGAGGCGGAGTGATGTCAGGCATCTCTGGAGCTTCGCTAGAGCTTGTCTGCCATTACAAGTACGTATCTTTCAAACTCAGGTTGCAGAGGATTGGTGACTGGCCACAACTGAATCTCGTTTGGTTGTGTACGCAGATTACACGGCAATGTTTACTCCATGAAGGTGTTATCCGCTGGAGGGGTTGATAGTGGGAGGAAGAGGGACTCCATAATTTTGGCATTCGAGGATGCAAAGTTTTCTGTGCTCGAATTTGATGATTCTGTGCATGGTCTCAGGACCAGGCGAGTACTTAATGTGAATTTTAACTGGTGTTCTTGATCATTGTGTCCACAGACTACTAACTGGCTACAGCCCTTAGTATTTACTCCGTAGATGTTATGGTCGAGATAACACTATAGTTTGTGTATCTTCTTATGGTATGAATACGATTGACAAATGCATAGTAATCGTCTTTCTTGCTTTTGCATTTAGCTCAATGCACTGTTTTGAAGGTCCAGACTGGCTTCACTTAAAAAGAGGTAAAGAATCATTTCATAGAGGTCCACATGTAAAGGTTGATCCACAGGGAAAATGTGCTGGAGCCTTGGTTTTTGAACAACAGATGATAATACTCAAAGCTGCTGAGGTCGACTTCTAGTACCACTTTAGCTGCTTCTATTGCTCTTTGTTTTTTTTATTAATTTTATTATTAATATGGTTGTAGTAATAATTACAACAACAAAAACAATGATTGTTATTTATCAACTGAGATGGTGAATTATGTAATCAGGCCAGCTCTGCTTTAGTTGGAAAACACAGTGCAATGAATGCAGGAGGTGCACCTTCTGCTCACATTGAGTCTTCTTTTATCATCAATTTGAGGGATCTTAATGTGAAGCATGTGAAAGACTTCACATTTGTTCATGGTGGGTATACTTACTTTACACGCATTCACTTTACTGCATTAATAGTATTAGTGATACTAGAGTGTTGAAATATGGTAAAGTATTAGTGATTATATTCTTCTCCCTGTTCTTTCGTGGCACCTTCCCTAATACTAAAAAGAGCCAGTTAAATGCAGTATGCTTTACCAATAACACTTCCGGTCAGATCTCTCTTAACATCTGTTCTTAATCTCTGACGTTAAAAGTTTGAACTCGTATGCCAACCCTAACCATGGAAATAGTCTGCTTGCGTGTTATTATACTCCATTTGACCCAAAATGGTTTGCAAAGTTAGCTTTTCTTGGTCAACACAATTTCATTTTGTTTACTTATTTAACACATCAATTTTTTTATTATATTCTAATATGGATTTTGCGACTTTATAGAATTTTTGATGTAGTTTCTCTATACGTAAATTTTAATTATTAAAACTGATATACTGTCCACAGGGATGATTTAACTTTGTAGTGAGTCAAACTTAAATACCGCACATTGCAAATCAATTCAGGACGGAGGAAGCATGATGTAAAATTTATTGCAAATGGCTTGAGATATTTGTTTATCTTTTTTTTTTTCATTTTGTTGGAGTGATCATAAGCCATAATGATATTGAATGAATACTTGAAATATTAAAAACTAGAGTTTGCACTTTGCACCAGATACTGAACTGCATCATTTTCATCATTTTCATTTACCCCAGTGCCACAAAGGCTCCCATCTACGGTGGGGTAAGGGGGGGTCGGATGTACGCAGTCTTACCCATGTACTAAAGCACAGAGAGACTGTTTCCGGATGACCCATAGTGAAAATCGAGTCCAAAATTGCATGGACTGACTGCTGCTTCATAACAAAGAAGCGTAGATAGTTTAGTGAGCCATTTTGCTTTATTCCATCATAATCTCAAGCCAAAAAATAATGAATCTTTGGCTCCATTGCAAATGATGGAAAAACCAGATACTGAACTGCATGAGACATAAATTTGAATAGTTAATGACCTAATGTAGCTCACATGTTCTTCTCTTTTCCCTTTTTGGTTTCTTTCATCAGATTTTTTTTGAACCATGAAAATTTCAGGTTATATTGAGCCTGTCATGGTCATACTTCATGAACGGGAGCTTACTTGGGCTGGTCGTGCATCATGGAAACATAATACTTGCATGATTTCAGCATTCAGTATCAGTACAACACTTAAACAGTCTCCATTGATATGGTCACATTCTGTAAGTTGCAATATCATAAGAAGTTCATTGAATTAACAGGATGATGGAGTTTGGAGTGGCACTTGATAGCATAGCGAGAAATTAGCAAAGTTTTTGTTTCTTTCATGATTTGGGTCAAGAAGGTTCATGACATTTTGCAGTGCTTATTTTAATTTGCGTAAATATTTTATGTCAATCCTAAGATTTGATACTTTGCTCCAACGATAGAAATTTTCAAGCTGTACCTAGTTCTTGGTGGCATTCCTTAAAGTTTTCTAGTTAATACTGCAATCTTTTCAAGTATTCGTAATTTTATTCAGTTTAAATTAATGGATATGTCCTTGAGTAAATATGTTTTTCTTCTTCTAAATTTTCTTTGTTCCAGAGTTATCCTCATGATGCATATAAGCTTCTTGCAGTGCCATCTCCCATTGCAGGAGTCCTTGTACTTGGAGCCAACACCATTCATTATTACAGTCAGGTCGACAACCTATAGTAGCTATTTGCTATTTAATTATTTGTTTATTTATATTTTCACTGTTATCATTGATTAGTGTTTCAAGTTCTCTCTTGCTCCATCATATTATTTCTGCTCATGATATATTGACCTTTTCATTTTCAGTCAGCTTCATGTGCATTGGCTCTGAACACTTTTGCTCTCTCAGCTGATAGGTGAGAGGGTTCAGTATCCTCTTTCTGCTTATATTTACCAAATTTGCTTTCTGTTCTTATATAACTTTCCTACAAGTATCTATGTTTTAAGATATTGGTGAACTCTATTTCATTGAATCTTATACTCCTTTTTGTTCTTACATCCTAGTTATCTGTTTAGGCTGAACACCTTTTCTTTTTCATTTTATCTGTGTATTTGTAAAATCTATGTCCATTAAATATTCTTTTCCCCATTTGCTCTTCTTATACTATTTATTTTATCCTTTTTCCAAGAAAAAAGGGCTTGGAAGCTTTTAAAGGTGTCATTTTCAGTGAAGCATTAAATGTTTGAAGCATTATCACTCCTGCAAGTTTCCTTAAACTGTATGATTTGGTCAACCTAGACCAGATAATAGGAATGGAGGGAGGGAGTATTTTGCATGCTTGTGAATCATACTAAAACACTTCTTAAACTGACATGGTTTGGTGCAAAGTCTTCTCTTAGTATCTAGCACACTGAGTTGGAAATTAAGCTTTGCTGTTTTTGCTTTTGACATCAATAACAAACAGCTTGTTGTATATGCACTTTGTTCTACTATTTCCAGTACAGAAACTTCAAGAGCTTCTTTCTGTGTGGAGCTTGATGCTGCTAATGCGACTTGGTTGACAAATGATGTTGTAATGCTGTCAACAAAGACAGGGGAACTGCTTTTATTAACACTTATTCATGATGGAAGGTATCTGTGAAATTCTGAATATTTGTGATATATATTACAATCTCAGAATGATAGGATATTTATACAGCCTATTGAGGAGAGAATCTAAGGCATTAAATATACAATCTGCTAATCTAAATAATAGAATATCCTATTTCTAGAAAGAATAAAATACATGATACTGGTAATTAATACAAAATCAGATCTTAAGTACAACAGTAGTTATTCTCTAAATCAGGAAATAAATCCACACTCCCCCTCAAGCTGGGTTGTGAATGTCAAACATCCCAAGCTTGCTAATTAATTCTTCAAAAATGGTTCTCGGTAGAGCTTTTGTAAGAATGTCAGCAGTTTGAAATTTTGATGGAACATAACAAGTCTGAATAATGGAGTTCTCTATTTTCTCAGTGATGAAGCATCTGTCTATATCAATATGCTTAGTTTTGTCGTGATGGACTGGATTTTTTGCAATGCTAATAGCAGCCTGATTGTCACAAAGCATTTGTATAGACCCTTCTTTAAATACTCCCAGCTCGCTAAGTAATCTTTTCAGCCACATTCCTTCACATATGCCAAGATCTAGAGCTCTGAATTCTGCTTCAGCTGAACTTCTAGAAACAACCGACTGTTTCTTACTTCTCCATGTTACTAAATTTCCCCAAACATAAGAACAGTAACCTGAAGTACTCCTTCTATCAGTTACATCTCCTGCCCAATCTGCGTCCGTGTAGACTCTAATATCTTTATTGTCATTCTTCCTAAAAAGAAGACCTTTTCCTGGAGTCATCTTGAGGTATCTAAGGATTCTTGTAACAGCTTCCATGTGTTCCTCAGTTGGATTATTCATGTATTGGCTTACGACACTTACAGGGAAACCAATATCAGGTCTAGTGTTAGATAAATAAATAAGTCGTCCCACCAGCCTTTGATCTCCCCATGTCCTCAGGTGCTCTGGCCAAGTGGCCATGTCCGAGCCAATCTTTTTGTTAGAATCCATTGGAGTCGAGGCTGGTTTACAACCAAGCATTCCAGTTTCCTTGAGTAAGTCTAGAACATACTTTCTTTGAGAAACAAAAATGCCATGTCTTGATCTTGAAATTTCCATGCCAAGAAAATATTTAAGATAACCGAGATCTTTTATCTCAAATTCCCTTGATAAGAAACCTTTTGAGCTTTTCAATTCTTCCTTGAAATCACCTGTAAGTATTATATCATCAACATAAACTATTAAGACAGCTATCCTTTGATCTTGTGAGTGTTTCACAAACAAGGTGTGATCTGCCTGACACTGAATATAACCATTTTTAGTGATTGATTTAGTGAATTTTCCAAACCATGCTCGCGGAGATTGCTTAAGGCCATATAGAGATTTCTTCAGTCTGCATACTTTGTTTCGTTTGGATGAACTCTCAAAGCCTGGTGGAATATCCATGTACACTTCTTCTTCCAGGTCACCATTCAAGAAAGCGTTCTTCACATCTAGTTGGTGCAACGGCCAGTCTCTATTTGCAGCAATGGATAGTAGAACGCGAATGGTATTGAGCTTAGCAACCGGAGCAAAAGTCTCTTGATAATCGATCCCGTAAGACTGGGTGAATCCCTTGGCAACAAGCCGAGCTTTAAACCTCTCAATGCTACCATCTGCTTTCTGTTTAATGGTGAATACCCATTTACATCCCACTGGTCTCTTTCCAGATGGTAAATCCGTTATGTGCCAAGTCCTGTTCTTCACCAAAGCATTGATTTTATCTTGTACAGCCTTTTTCCAACTCGGATCAATCAGTGCTTCTTGAATTGAGTGAGGAATATGTACACTATCAAGAGTAGAAACAAATGCTTGATAGGATGGAGATAATGTTTTATAGGACACAAAATTGCCAATCGGATGTTTAGTACAAGCACGAACTCCCTTTCTCAAAGCAATAGGTAGATCATCATTTATACCAGTAACACTATCATGACAAGAATTACTCATACCTGAATGTATTTCCGGAGGATCTGAATTCAGTTCCAAGTCATGGCAGTCCTGTAGATGTGTCCGTTCTTTCTCAGAGTGCCTATTTCTTTGATAGACACGAAGTTCTTTAGGTTCTGGATGAGAATTAACAATTGGTAACGGATCAGGGGTGTTTTCAGTGGCTTGAGATGAACCGGGGACTTGGTTTTCTATGACATCTTGACGTTCTCCAACTGTCACAGGTTCTGTCACAGGTTGTGGACCGGTGAGTTCAAGAATAGGTGCAGTAGGTGAAATTTCGAAAAGGTGAGATTCACTTCCATTCTCCCCCTGAATCTCGGATTTGTAGTAAGCCTGTGATTCGAAAAAAGTGACATCCATAGAGTTATAGGTTTTTCGTGTAGTAGGACAATAACACTTGTAACCCTTTTGATTAGATGAATAACCTATGAAGATGCATTTGATAGATTTAGGATCTAACTTACTACGATTTTGTGGATAAAGATGGACAAAAACAGTGCAACCAAAGACCTTAGGATCTACAAAGCTAATGAACCTTGTATGAGGGAATATTTCCAGAAGAGTTTGACACGGAGTTTGAAATTTCAACACTTTAGATGGCATCTGATTAATGAGATAGGCAGCGATGAGAACTGCATCCCCCCAAAAACTTTAGGAACGTGAGACCCAAACATTAGGGATCGAGCAACTTCAGGAAGATGTCGATTGTTCCGTTCAACAATTCCGTTTTGCTGAGGGGTGTCAACACAAAAACTTAAATGGATGATGCCGTGTTTTATCAAACAAGTACCAAGAACAGAATTAATAGATTCTTTTGCATTGTCAGTTTTGAGTACTTGAATCGTAGTATGAAATTGAGTTTGAATCATAGAATGAAAGCGCTGAAAAATTCCACTCACTTCTGACTTATTTTGCATAAGAAAAACCCAAGTTAATCTTGTGTGATCATCTATAAAAGATACAAACGATCTTTTTCCTGTTATAGTGTTTATGCGTGAAGGTCCCCACACATCACTATGAATCAATGAATTTTTTTTTGATGGTTTATATGTTAATCTAGAATAACTAGTCCGAGTGTGTTTAGCAAACTGACAAGTTTCACAACAAAAAGAACTTGGATCCTTATTTAGAAATAAGGAAGGAAACATTTTTGATAAATACACAAAATTTGGATGACCAAGACGATAATGCCATAACATGATAGCACTATCCTTATTAGACAAAGAAACTGACTGACTATTCAAAGAAAGCAAACTGAACTTTTGGTTTGTGTTGGTGGGTGAAGCTTCATCACGTAGAACATATAGTCCGGAACACATCTTAGCATTGCCAATCCTCTTCCCTGAGTTCAAATCCTGAAATACACAAAGATTTGAGAAACTTTTTGTCACACAGTGATGTTCACTAGTAAATTTACTAATTGAAAGTAAATTACAGTCTAATTTGGGCACATAGAGCACAGATTTGAGAGTGAGGTCCTTAGTTATTCTGACTGAACCGGAACCCTCAACTTGAGAAAGTGAGCCATCTGCTATTTTGACTGTATGATTTCCTTTCTTCGGGTGAAACTCACAGAAAATTGATGCATCTCTTGTCATCTGATCTGAAGCTCCGGAGTCTAGAATCCATGATTTGTTAGTGCTTCTATTGACAGAACAAGCAACTGATTTATTACCTCTCATAGCCAACATACTAGTATCATGCATAGAGGTTGGATGAATGGAGGAATGATTCAGAAGTTTCTGAAGGGCTTCAAGTTGAAAGAATTTGTGTCCATTGAATTTGCAGCTGGTAATGAGAGAGACATCTTCATTTATTTGAAAAGAGGCAAAAAGAATTGGTGAGGGTGTTTTAGAGGTTGTCTCTGAGATGAAGCTGTTGTTTTCGTGAGCCATGATAGACATAAGAGATGGGCACGACCAGAAGAGGAGTACAGAAACCCTAGGATAGCTAGAGCTCTGATACCATGTGAAATTCTGAATATTTGTGATATATATTACAATCTCAGAATGATAGGATATTTATACAGCCTATTGAGGAGAGAAACTAAGGCATTAAATATACAATCTGCTAATCTAAATAATAGAATATCCTATTTCTAGAAAGAATAAAATACATGATACTGGTAATTAATACAAAATCAGATCTTAAGTACAATAGTAGTTATTCTCTAAATCAGGAAATAAATCCACAGTATCCTTGATTTCATATCATATTCTACAAGGTCAAGGTTTAACAGTTCACTTTTAAGTGCTATTTGTTGCTAAGACCACTGCTATATTTCTTCTTCATATCCATATTTTTATTATCGCTAGCATATTTCTTTCTTCAATCATGCACCTATAGAACTCTTCTTTTGTTTAACATCAAGTATAAACGTAAACTGATGAAATGGTCTGAATGAGGTGGTAGGTGGCTAGTCTTATACTCTTTATTTCCATTAATGTTGCTCTGGATTACGGAAACATAATGAAGCTACAACCAGTATGTTAGAATCTGGACAGATCTGTAACAATTTCTCTAACTAATGAACTAAGAAGTAAGAACAGATCGATCAATTGTTTATTGCGGTAAGAAAAGCTCAAGTAAGAATACAAGTGCTGGGACTGTTCGAGAAGCCCACTCTCCTAAACCAAAATGCCAATTCAATAACTGCCTCCATTATTTAGCTACTCCCACATCTATTTATAGTTAATACTCCCGTAGGGATAGACTACTAATATATCCCATAACCCTTTCCCTGCTATTAATATTTCAGGCCCACTTATTATTATCTATAATAATAGGCCCACTTAATATCTATTCCTATCAATACTCCCCTCCCCCTAAACAACCACCTTGTCCTCAAGGTGGGTGATAGGAAACAGCCATGATCTTCCACTTCCACTTCATTCTTGCACCTCTCCCCTCCCAGTATTTGACTGATTGCGGGACTAGGAACTTCAGTACCAAATCTTTTGATATCACAAACATTTCAGCAGCAGAAGAGATATCTAATGAAGTTTCGTACGCTTTAGCAAGTATTCCAATATTGGCAATCTTCAGCATGTTCTGCCAATGAGCTCCATCCGAGGCATCCTTTGCATAAAGGATATACAGGTTGACTGCATTCTTTTGCTCTTGTCTATGAGCTTTTTCTTCAGCCTCTTTTGAGTTATGGAATGATTGAATAGAAAACTGCCCATCAACATGAAAATAGCTTATTCTTTTCTCAGAAACAAACTGCTGCACTCCATCAAGAATCTTAGGATAGACTATGATTTCTACCACTTCTTCACAGCTCCCTAGTCCAGTCTCACCATCCTCTAACTGCTTTTCAGATTTCAGGTTACTGAGATATATTTCCCATTCACCATCTCTTGTACTCAGAAGTAATATCATACAAGGGCTATTCACATCAATGAACTCTTGAATCCGCCTCTTCCTTTCATCCAATTTGACATGGCTATCAATGTCAAGTCTGAATTCCGTACTTCCTCTCCTATTCATACCAGAACTACTTTGAGTTCTGTCCACCGGAAGCTCAGTAGTGACCGGACCTCCCATATTACCTATATGGGTCTCATAAACAAGCAATTTTGTCATCATCAATTTTGAGTCAGAAACCACTGAGCTCTCCAATTCAGAACCAGCAATTTTGTCATCAGCAGACTCATATTCCAGGGCACTCGAGAAATGATTCACCACCTAAGTAGCACGGAAACGGGAAACGCGAGAAACGTGATTTCTAGAAAACATAGGATACGAAACGTGGGGGAAACACGTAAATATTAAAAAATATAAGGATATATTTGTAAATATTTTTCATATGTATACAGATTTTTTCATTGATATATATATGCACATGACATTTTCATATAACTTGCTTAATAGCCCAATAATAAAAGCATTCTACATGTTCAAATTTAGAAATTATTACATATTATTACATAATTAAACATAGAATGCAATTCATTCGTAGCAATTGCGTTATGAAATGCCACAATGTTGCGACGAAGATATAACACAAAAAATCACTATTTTTTAAGACACTATTTTTCATCACAGGACTTCTTAAAAAAGAAAAAATTGAAAATTCACGGTTTCTGAATTGCTAATAATTTAGGGAAATGGGTTTCCCAATTCTTCTTAATTACGGAAACGGCCCCGAAACGGGAATTTGAAGTTTCCGAGTTTCGGACACGCTTTCGAGTTTCGGAAACGTGAGCTGCGGAGAGTTTCCGTGCTTCATAGTTCACCACAGTAGATTTCTCCTCTCGTCTTTCATCGTCATCGGTGAAGGTATCCTCAGAGAGAGATTTCCGTGGATTGCCAGACTCCTGCGACTCAGACAGCAATGGCGAACTGGAAGCTCCTCCTGATCGCGTTGCACCTTGAATTGAACTGCTCGCGTATGATGAAGTCTGCGAACCTGGAAACACGGCTTGTGGAGAAGATTGCAAAGATTCAGTCTGCAAACTTATGAGCGACCGCGAATTGATGTGTTTTTCTTGCGATACAGCTTGAGAACTGGGAGAAGAGACTAGAGATGAAGTTAGGTGAGGATAAACAGTTCACGAGGGAGATTTAGATCTGGAAGCCCATAATGAAGCCTGCGAACTGAGAGATGTTGTTGGCGACAATGACAGCCACTGTTTTTCAGATGACCTAACAGGTTGATGACCGATCTTGTTTATTCTACTCCACATCTCCGTAGCCCAATCATCGAAGGGTTGTTGATTTTGTTCAACCTTTTCCAGGTTATTCTCCATGTGCGATTGTGAACTGGGGCCTTCTACTTGCGACACGTTCTGCAAACGCATGAGGGAGTCGATTGTCGATGACGAGTGTTGAGTATCCGCAAGCGAAGATGTATGCGAACAGACAGAATAGTTCAGCGACGAAACCTGAGAACTGGAAGGAGTTTCTCGCGATTTAGAAAAAACCTGCGCAGTTCGCGATAACCTGGGAGAAATAGCTCGCATCTGCGAACTGAAGGACGTTGTTGTCGACCGTGATCGCGACCTCTCTCTGGATCGAAGTTGTTCATTCATCGCGGCCATGGATGCTGCTAGGTTTGCCGCCAGATTTTCCATTGCAACCCGCTGATCATCTACCAATGATCGTAATCCTTCTTGTACCTCCGACAGAGTTCCCTGTATCTCTGCGATGTTCCGTTCCACAGTTTCCACGCGAAACTCCATTTTCGCTCTTGTCCTTACCATTCACCACCGAACGTAATAGTTGCTGAGGATTGCGGAACACTTCCGATCACCAGGAACGAGTTCTCTGATACCAATGTTAGAATCTGGACAGATCTATAACAATTTCTCTAACTAATGAACTAAGAACAGATCGATCAATTTTTATTGCGGTAAGTAAAGCTCAAGTAGGAATACAAGTGCTGGGACTGTTCGAGAATCCCACTCTCCTAAACCAAAATGCCAATTCAATAACTGCCTCCATTATTTAGCTACTCCCACATCTATTTATAGTTAATACTCCCGCAGGGATAGACCACTAATATAGCCCATAACCCTTTCCCTGCTATTAATATTTCAGGCCCACTTATTATTATCTATAATAATAGGCCCACTTAAATCTATTCCTATCACAGTATTTCAAGTAAGGTAGTATTAAGTATTCTAATTTGCTAGTCTGAAAAAATTACAACTACATGACATTTTTAACAGTTTTGTTGATGCCCTTATTAGATTTTTTATCATGTTTACTAGTCTGCTCTTAATGTGTGCGAAGAAAATAGCCTACGTTTTGTCATTATTCGTTTATGTATTTGCAGAATTGTGCAGAGGCTTGATCTTTCAAAGTCGAGAGCTTCAGTGCTTGCATCAGTTAGGCGCCTCAAAATCTTTATGCTAACTGCTAGTTTGTAGTTGCATGAATATATCCATATTGGCATGTCATCATCTCCATTGCACTGTCGGTCCGTCATTTTGACCTGTTTGCGGGTGTTTTGTAGGGAATTACTACCCTTGGGACCTCATTATTCTTTTTGGGCAGTCGATTGGGGGATAGTCTGCTCGTGCAGTTTACTAGTGGTCTAGAAGCATCGATGTTTCCTTCAGGGGTAAAGGATGAGGTATGTGCTTTGTTTTCTTCAAATAATTTATTTGTTTCTGCTGTAGCATTCAATTCAATAAACTCTGTCGGCTAGTCTACTCTCCATCCTGCTCCCAACATCTTCCGAAATCAGTTCTTTGATATGGTTATTGATTAACTGGTGACAGTTTATGCTGTACACATCTTTATTTTTTCTATTGGGAATTGTGAGTTTGCACCCCACTTTTTGGGTGATATTGGACTTTGCACCCCATTTTCAAAACTTTTAGGCTTTGCACCCTATCTACAACATTTTGTGAAGAAAAATTCCTGAATGGGGTGCAAAGGCAAAGACATTTTAGGGGAAATAGGGTGCAAAGTCTAAGAGTTTTAAAAATGGGGTGCAAAGTCCAATATCACCCAAAAAGCGGGGTGCAAAGTCAAAATATCCCTTCTGTTTAGAGTTTCAATCAAGTAAATCACTGATTTTACATGAAAACTGTTTTCACAATTTTATTCCATTGTTAGTTAAGAGCGCAAGACCAAAGTATTTATATACTCCCTCCTGTTGCGTGTGTATAATATTAATTTAAGATCAAATGAGAATGAATCCTTAGGAAAGAAATGAGAAACACTACAATGCATTGGATCAAGAAGAAAACACAAAAAAAGAAACAAAACATTTTGGCATTTTTTGTAATTAAAGAAACTTTCTTCCACTGCACTGAAGGGGATAAATACCCAATCACATACATAAAAGTGAAAGAGTGGTGCACTAGAAGTAAAACTGTTCGCAAGGGAAGTGCACATCTCAGCATTACCAGTTACCACCCCACACACATGATATCATTTAACTTTGGCACCTGTATGATTTACCTTTGTAGGTTGGAGATATTGAAAATGACGCACCTTCTGTTAAGAGGCTGATGATGTCTTCTTCTGATGCTTTGCAAGACATGCTCAATGGGGAAGAACTGTCCTTGTATGGTACATCGCCAAATAATGCACATTCAGCACAGGTAAGCTTTAAATGTTGGAGGCTGCCGCTTTTTATTATTTGTGATGTATTTCATATAGCATTGTTAACAAAGTGAAAAGGTCACGCATGGTTTGTAGTGGAAGCATGAGAAATAAGAGGAAATGTTATCCACATATAGTACTTATGTCAGTCAATTAAGAATATTATTAAATATGATAGTATATGGAATCACTCGTGCTTAAGAGGCGCTCTTGCTCTGTGTAATGAATAATATTCTCTACTAGGCATCGTAATATTAAGTTCTTTGTGATGGATGCAGAGGACCTTCTCCTTTGCAGTGAGGGATTCTTTGATAAATATTGGCCCTCTGAAGGACTTTTCATATGGTTTGAGAATAAATGCTGACCCAAATGCCACTGGGGTTGCTAAACAAAGTAACTACGAATTGGTAAGTACTGCATGCGATAGCTTTTAACAAAGTGACCATGAAATGGTAAGCGTTTTAAGCCATAATTTTTCCTTCTTAAACATAGTTTTAGAGTGGAGGTTTTAACTTGATGACGTTGCATAGTAAATACTATTAGGTTCTGCAAGATATGTTTTGACCATTTTAAATTTAGAATAGGGCTTTTAACTTGATGATATAATGGAGCATGAACAACTAAGTTGTCCAAGCCTGATTTGAGCTTAACTTTTTTAGACCTGGGATCTTTAACTTGGCAATATTGTTTTTGATAGGTTATAAATTCTTACAAATACTTTGTCAAACTCCATCAATGATGCAATTTTACACATTTTGGCATTTATTTAAATGTTTTGAGCCATTGAGTATATGCAATTATCAGTAATTCATTGGGAATACTTTCAGGTTTGCTGTTCAGGTCACGGTAAGAATGGCGCTCTTTGTGTGCTCCAAAGGTCAATTCGCCCAGAAGTCATTACTCAAGTGTGCTTCTAATTCTTTTCATTTCTTTTTGTACATGGAACCCCCACATTGTGGTGCTCAGATGTTATAGTTATTTATTTTACTCTATTGTCTCAAAAAGTCAGAAGTTTGCTGCATCTTTATTGGTTATAAGCAAAAGAAGCTATTGTGTTCATATCCACTTTTTTTACAGTTTGCTTTGAAAGCAAAAAGCAAACGAAAAATCTGCCTCTCATATCAACTTTGGTTTGTTTCTTTATATGAAGTGCAGATATTACCATTTATACAAACACACATCACCAGATCCACCAAGCACAGGGCTCACCTTTAGTATTACAAGAAACCCCATGACACCACATCCCACCCTTGAAATTTTATGTCTGTTTAGCATTTGAAATTGTGAAACTTGTGATATGTAAATACTTGTTTATTAGTCAGCTAACTTATCTCTTTCATATTTATTTGATGAGATTCTAAGTGTAGTTTTATATCATGAAGGAATCGTTACCCGGTTGCAAGGGAATTTGGACTGTTTATCACAAGAGCACACGCAGTAACCTTAATGAATCTTCAAAAGTTACATATGATGATGATGAATATCATGCATATTTGGTTATTAGTTTGGAGACCCGCACTATGGTAATCCTTTGACTCATCAATTGTATCATATTTTGTTGCTCTAGATTATGCATTTGAAATAACTTTAGCTGGGGACTCCATAAGTATTCACTTTTCATTTATTAAATGATACATTGCTGCTATTTAATTCCTTGCTTATGTAGATTGAGATTACCTTGCTTGAAGAGGTTGTTTATTGTTTTTTTTCAAACTGGCTCTAATTGGTATTTTATCAACTAAAAGATAGATTAGTTCGTTTAGTTGTGAGATTTTGCTTTACCTGGCTTATGCGTAGATAGTCTCTCAAGGTGAGCGTAAATCCTTAGAAACGGTAGGAGCTCAACATTTCCCCTCTTGATGACAATAGACACCCTCATGTTTCCGTTCATTTTTATTACATGGGCTATCCATCTATAAAAAATGATGACACCCCAGTCTTGAGCCCCCCTCCCCCCCCAAACCGATCCGGAAAGTCATCTAGGAGGATGTAAATTGAGCTTTGATCACACACTGATGGAAAGAGAGCGGGGTTCCATTCCAAGTCTTTACTTGGAGTTGAACCCAAGACCCCCTCCCTTGTGACACCCTCTTCCTACCAGGTGGTGAGGTATGCCCCCCGGTGAGCTATCCATCTATTAATCTATGTCTCTATGACATGGGATTTGTTAAACTATGTCTGCAGGCTTGCTGATTTTGGCTCCTTATGATCTTGGGTTCTGTTTGTAAAATGTAATGACACAATTTTCTCTTAAACTTGGCAGGTTCTGCAGACTGCCAGTAATCTGGAGGAGGTTACTGAAAATGTAGACTATCATGTTCAGGGAACCACTCTAGCCGTCGGAAATTTATTTGGGAGGTAATTTTTTTTGTTTATTGTTTTTAACAGTTTTTATTTGGCATGAGGGCATATTGAATTATGTAGGATTGAAGAATTAATCTTCCTTGAATATTATTGAGCCATCCGGCAATGATATATATACAAGTTACAGATAAAGCCTAGTTGTTACAGATCCTAAAATATAGGATCTATCTATTCTGCGAGCTTATCTACTAGTTAGAGAGTTCTATCTACTCTAAGTCTTATCTATACAGTTCCGGATGTACATTTAATTAAAATAACAAATACATGTTACATTTTTCTACACTCCCCCTCAAGTTGGTAAGTATATATCATACATTCCCAACTTGCTTATAAGTAATTCAAACACTGGTTTGAACAGCCCCTTTGTAAAGATATCAGCTGTTTGTTCTTTGGTAGATATGAATGGTGTACACACAATTCCAGCTTCAATCTTCTCTTTGATAAAATGCCTGTCCACTTCAATATGTTTAGTACGATCATGTAGCACATGGTTGTGAGCAATATTAATGGCTGCCTTATTATCGCAATATAACTTCATAGGTAGTTCCATTTTCATATTCAACTCTGAAATCACTCTCTTGATCCAAAACAGTTCACAGATTCCATTAGCCATAGATCTGAATTCAGATTCTGCACTACTTCTAGCAACCACATTCAGCTTCTTACTCCTCCAAGTCACTAGATTCCCCATACATAGGTACAATACCCAGATGTAGACCTTCTATCAGTTATTGAGCCAGCATAATCTGCATCTGTAAGAGCTTCCACACTTCTATCGTCACCTTTTTTAAAAAATAATCCTTTCCCTGGACAGCTTTTCAAATACCTTAGGATTCTGTAGGTAGCATCAAGATGTTCCTGGAATGGATTATGCATGAATTGGCTAACCATACTAACTGCAAAGGCAATATCTGGCCTTGTATGTGCCAGATAAATCAATCTTCCCACCAATCTTTGATATTGTTGAACATTAACTGGTACTCCTTCCTTGACATCTCCTAACTTTTGATTAGGATCAATTGGAGTATCTATTGGACTGCAGGCACTCATACCTGTTTCATGGAGTAGGTCTAGTACATACTTCCTTTGAGATACCACAATACCCTTCTTTGATCTGGCTATCTCCATGCCAAGAAAGTACTTCAATTCTCCAATGTCTTTGATCTCAAATTCCTGAGCCAACTTCTTCTTCAGGTCTTCAATCTCTTTATAATAGTCTCCTGTAAGGATGATATCATCCACATAAACAATTAACACTGCAATCTCTCCCTTACTTGAGAACTTCATGAACAGTGTATGGTCTGCTTGGGCTTGCTTGAATCCCTGTGTCTTTATGAATTGAGTAAACCTGTCAAACCAAGCCCTTGGGGACTGTTTAAGTCCATATAAGGCTTTCTCCAGCTTGCATACCTTTGAACCATACTGTTCCTCAAACCCAGGAGGGGGGCTCATGTATACTTCCTCTTCAAGCTTCCCATTTAAGAAAGCATTCTTCACATCTAACTGTTGAAGAGGCCAGTCTAAGTTAGCAGCTAGAGATAGAAGGATCCTTATAGTATTTAATTTTGCAACTGGAGCAAAAGTTTCTATATAATCTATGCCATAGGTTTGTGTATATCCTTTGGCAACCAATTTGGCCTTATATCTTTCAAGTGTACCATCTGCCTTTAATTTAGGGGTAAATACCCATTTGCATCCCACTGTTGGTTTGTTCTTGGGTAGCTCCACAACCTGCCATGTCTGATTCTTTTCAAGAGCATTCATTTCTTCTAAAATAGCCTTCTTCCACTCAGGTTTAGATAGAGCTTCCTGTATGGTTAAGGGAATAGAAACAGTGGAAAGACTAGAGGTAAAGGCTGCAAATGTTGTAGATAACTTAGAATAGGACAAATAGTTTGAGATAGGGTATTTAACACATGATCTTTTTTCTTTTCTGAGAGCAATGGGTAGATTAGATCACTGGAATTATTACCTTTGTCATTTTCTGACATTGAGTCAGATTCATGAGCAGTGGCAGGATCAGGGATGTCCTCTATTCTTTGATTTGGAACTCTCCTTTCATAAACCTTGCCAAAAAATTTACTTGTCTGCTGTTCATCATCTTTCCTTGTCTCAGAAAATTTTATTTCATTTTCTTTTGATTCTTGACTATTTTCTAGTGCATCTAACTGTCTATTATATTGTGCATCTAGACTAATGTCAAGAAATTCAAGTCTTTCATGGATATGTGACACGTTATCACCATCTTCATTAGGAATCTCCCCCTGAAGATGAGTACCAAAAAAAAGTTGATTTTCAACAAAAACAGTGTTCATTGTTACAAACATCTTTTTTGTTGTAGGGTCAAAACATTTATAGCCTTTCTGTGTTGAAGATAGTCCTAAGAAAACACATTTTTTGCCTCTAGGATCAAATTTGCTTGCCGTTCTGTCAGGATTGGTAATAAAAACTGTGCAGCCAAAATTTTTTATGGGAATAAAGTTGATAAGCCTAGTTTCTGGAAAACTGGCTTGAAGTGTATCAATGGGAGTTTTAAATCCTAGAGTCTTTGATGGCATCCTATTAATTAAATAGGTAGCATGTAAAACAGCTTCTCCCCATAAATATTTTGGAATTCTAGCAGAAAACATAATTGCACGAGTGACTTCAAGCAAATGCCTATTTTTCCTCTCAGCTATTCCATTCTGAGCAGGTGTATTTATACAGGAACTTTGATGAATAATCCCTTTTTCAGCAAAAAAAATTATTTAACTTCTTAGAAAAATACTCAAGACCATTATCACTTATCACAATCTTGATATTAGTATTGAATTGAGTCTGAATCATTAAGTAAAATTTCTTGAACACCTCTTCAACCTCAGATTTTTCTTTAATAAAAAAAACCATGTGACCCGTGTGTGATCATCTATGATAGTTACAAACCACCTTTTTCCTTTCAAAGTTGAAACTCTAGATGCACCCCAAATATCACTGTGCACAATAGTAAAAGGACTAGTTGGCTTGTAACTATGATGTTTGGCAAGTGCACACATATCACAATGAAATGATGAAGGATTTTTATTATGAAATAACTTAGGAAACAACCTTTTTAGATAGGAAAAACTTGGGTGACCTAATCTATAGTGCATTAAATACACTTCATTATTACAAGGAAAGGAAATAGTTTGCAGATAAGTTTTTTCTTGACCTTGTTTATTCAATTGTGTTCCTTCATCAAAAACATATAGGCCATCCTCCTCTCTAGCACTGCCAATCATCCTCCCCGATGCCATATCCTGAAAAATGCAATAAGAAGGATAAAACTTTACACAACACTGAAGATCTTTGGTTATTTTGCTAATAGAGATAAGATTGCATGACAGTTTTGGAACATGCAAGACTTTAGAAAGGTTAATGGATGAGGAAATTTTAATATTTCCCATCCCTGCTATGGCTGAAAAAGAGCCATCTGCAACTCTAACTTTCTTATCTCCTGCACAAGGTTGATATGAAGAAAAGAGATTTGGAATGTAGGTCATGTGGTCTGTTGCACATGAGTCAATGACCCAGGTGCTTTTTGGTTTTTCAGAACCAAAAAATGATGTTATTTTACCATTTTGGGCAAAAGAACAGGAAGGATTTTCTTGGTTGGAGATTTTCTGTGTGGGTATAAATTGGAGTAGGTACTCTATCTGTTCCTGAGTGAAAGGCAGCTGTTTAGATTCAACTCCTGACTCTTGTTGAGTCTCAGTCACAGTAGTTTGTAGGGCCCTTTCAACTTTCTTCTTTCCAGCTCCTGGTGGTTTTCCATGAATCTTCCAGCATGTTTCCCTTGTGTGCTACAATTATTTGCAGTGATCACACCAAGGTTTTTTCTTGTCATCACTTCTGGCCACTAAAGCTTAAGAATCCCCAGGTTCCTCATTAGGTACTGGAGTGTTGTACATGACCCTCCTCCTGCTATCTTCCAACCTGATCTCAGAAAAGACCTCTCTGATTGAGGCCAGAGGTTTCTTTCCCAGTATTCTGCCTTTTACTTCATCTAGATCCCTATTGATCCCAGCTAGAAACATATAGACCCTATCATTCTCTTCTCTTTTCTTATGTCTGGCCAAATCCTTAGCACTCTCTCACTCTTCATCACCATAGCATTGATCTAATTCTTGCCATAGAGATACCATTTCGTTGTAGTATGAAATAATATCCCTATTTCCTTGTTTAGATTGCCACAATTTGGTTTTGAGTTCAAAAACTTGAGAAGAGTTCTCAAGATCTGAATAAGTTTCCTTAATAGAGTCCCATAACTCCTTTGCAGTTTTCATAAACATATGAGGTTTGGCAATTAAGGGCTCCATGGAGTTGAGAAGCCAAGCTGTTATGAGTGAATTCTCTGACCTCCATGTACTGTACCCTTCTTCTGCAGGTAGTTTTGGTTTGATTTCTCCTGTGATGTAACCCAGCTTTCCCCTCCCATCAATTGCAAGTCTGACAGATTGAGACCACTCCAGATAGTTTGTTCCATTCAATCTATGACTAGTGATTATCATAGATGAATGAATAGGAGATTGGTAATTTGTATAGGGCTAATTTGGGAGTTAGGGTTGATAGTGTGTGAGGAATCAGCATCACTGGTTTCTACCATTGTTTAAACCGAGCTCTGATACCATGTAGGTTTGAAGAATTAATCTTCCTTGAATATTATTGAGCCATCCGGCAATGATATATATACAAGTTACAGATAAAGCCTAGTTGTTACAGATCCTAAAATATAGGATCTATCTATTCTGCGAGCTTATCTACTAGTTAGAGAGTTCTATCTACTCTAAGTCTTATCTATACAGTTCCGGATGTACATTTAATTAAAATAACAAATACATGTTACATTTTTCTACAAATTATTATTCATTTATTCTCATGTCATTAAATCAGACATTATGTTGATACATTTTGCTTTGGATGGTGGTGGGGCTTTGTACTTCTGGGTTTTGATGTAGGAGGTTCATCTTGAACCGCTCAAGTAAAGGATCATTGGTAGGAATTGGATTCTTATACATCTTAAATTCTTAATTGATACATCTATTTCTTTGTCATTAAAATATTTTGAAATCATTAGACAAATTACTTTATTTGTTAAGAATCTTGCTCATTGATGGTGTTGACTAAATGATTCACACACATATTTTACTTCTGATATTTGTTTGATGAGCAGCTTCAGCCAGTCTTATTGTTTCGTCTCTTATTTGGTTACCAAGTGCTCCAGCAGTATACTTTCTGTACTTCTGACATCAGCATATAATGTATCAGATTTTAATTTATGTAGGCGTCGTGTTATACAAGTGTTTGGTCGTGGTGCTCGGATCCTTGATGGAGCTTTTATGACTCAAGAGCTGAGTTTCAAGGCTTCAAATTTGGACTGTGGCTCAGGTTCTGATGGTATTGCTGTATGTTCTGCTTCGATTGCTGACCCATATGTCTTACTAAGCATGACAGATGGAAGTATTCAGCTTCTCGTTGGTGGTATGTCAACACATCTTAATCTTTCTTCCTTTCTTTAGAGATGACGTGCCAAGGGGACCTTTTCTCAACATTAAAGTCCATTGATTTGATGTCTAAATTTTCTGCTAAAATTAGCTTGTATTGACTCTGAACTGTACATTAGGATTGCCGCTAAGCCTATATTGAGATTAGTTCTATTACTTCTTTATATAAATTCATCTAAAGGCAAAACTGTGATGCAGAAGAATTGTTTTTGTAAAACCCTCTATCTAAAATTTCCTCATCACATTGTAGTGGATGCAATAATGCAATTAATTCCTTTTCAGTAGTGCAGAAGACTACTCACATTGTCCTGTTATTTTTTTAGCAATTTGTTCGGAATTTGATCTTTTGTTTCTTGAAATTGTCTATTGATTCGGCTCTTAGTTGTTGACCCCTTTTCTCACCAGTAAGAATATACTGACATGAAATTCTTATTACAGATTCTTCTACATGCACGGTTTCTATCACTACTCCAGCTATGTTTGGAAGCTCAAAGAGGTTAATTTCTTCTTGCACTCTCTATAGTGATGAAGGTCCTGAGCCATGGCTCCGTAAGACTAGTACTGATGCTTGGCTTTCTACTGGCACTGGGGAGGCAATTGATGGGGCTGATGGTATACCTCATGATCAGGGAGATGTGTACTGTGTTGTTAGTTATGAAGATGGTAATCTTGAGATCTTTGATGTGCCCAATTTTACCTGTGTTTTCTCCGTGGATAAATTTGTGTCGGGAAGGAGATACCTCATTGACACCTTAACCCAACAAGATCCATCTCTTGGTTCCTGTCTAAAAAGTTCTGGTGAGGTTTCTGGACATGGGAAAAAGGAAGACATTCAGAAGATCAAAGTAGTTGAGTTGGCAATGCAGAGGTGGGCAGGGCAACATAGCCGTCCTTTTCTTTTTGGAATATTATCTGATGGAACAATTCTCTGCTACCATGCCTACATTTTTGAAGGTTCTGAAAATTATTCACCGAGCTCTATTAATCCTAGTATCAGTTCTGGTACTTCTAGGCTTAGAAATTTAAGATTTGTACGCGTTCCACTTGAAAATTATGCAAGGGAGGAGGTATCATCTGTAAAACTATCACAGCGCATAAACATTTTTAAGAATGTTGGTGGTCTCCAGGGATTGTTCCTTGCTGGGTCTAGGCCGGCTTGGCTTATGATGTTCCGTGAACGGATCCGAATGCATCACCAGGTAATTTCAATCTTCTCAATATGTTCTCCTGACAAAGATTAATAATGTCTTTCGATGTTTCTCTTGTGCACATACTTTGAAGTAACAACCTTCAACGTCATAATAAATAAGAATGCAATATTTTGAAATAGGCATATATAGATATTTGCTTAGATGTGTTGCGCTAATTTTCGGTTCCCTTACACTCCATTGAATATAATCTTCATTTCTAGCAGTGGTAGGGATCTCGTCCAATGTCTTGGACAAAGGATTAGCATGAAGGTACGGCCAAGAAAGAGAAAATATTTCGGATCTATGTTTAAGAGAACATAATTTCGGAATAAGCCTAATGTAGAATTTACAGGTGCCTGACTTAATCAAGCATACAAGAACAAGTTTTTCAAAGGTTGTTTGTTAATCAACAGAGAGGACCTTTATATAGTTATTTCAAGAAGTCTAATCATAATAACAAATGGAAATAACAATATAATTACTACCAAGAAACTACTAAGTACTAACTAACAGTTAATAACAATAATAGTAACTCTTAAAATTTAAAAATAACATGTAGAAAATGTTACATTTATTATTTATTTTTAGATAGTGTACGTGTGCAGCTGTATAGATAAGATTGTAGAGTTGTTAGACTACATTAATTAGTAGATAAGTATTGTAGTTAGATAGATCCTATTTTTTAGGATCTCCACACGGAGTTTGTTTATTGTACTCTGTATATGTATCTTGGCAGGATGGCTCGGTTAATATTAAGGAAGTTTTATTCCTAAAACCTACATGGTATCAGAGCCTTGAATTTACACATCAAAATGGTGGATTTCGAACACTCTGACTTATCTCCCCATTCACAAACCAATAACCCTAACTCCCATATTAGCTCAATGGCAAATTATCAGGCCTCAGTTAATTCATCTATGTTCATCACTTGACATAGATTGAATGGAAGAAATTACCTAGAGTGGTCACAATCTGTCAAATTAGCAATTGATGACAAGGGCAAACTGGAATACCTAAGTGGTGAGATCAAAGAAAAGAAAAGCAATGAAGATGGCTAGTGTCTGGAGGTCAGAAAACTCACTTGTAACAGTGATAGGAACCCATTAGTATAATAATACTCATAATAATAGAAGTATATTAAATAATTGTGAGTGTATTAAAGGCTCCTGGGCCAGGTACTAGTTAGTTTTGGGCTGGCCCATAAGTAAGTATAAATAGAAGGGAGGGAGAAATAAGAAGGTAGGCAGATTTTGGAATAGGAACTGGGACTCTTGGGAGAGATAGGCACTCTCGAACTTGCCTCTATACTTCTTCTCTTAAATTTCTTCTGCTGCTGTGTAATTACCTAAGGATCTGAGGATTTCTCAGAATTCTTTGACTGAATCTACTACTGGTTTTATTGTTTGGAACGATTCCTAACATTGGTATCAGAGCATTCACTTCCTGGAGGCAGGGAATCAGAATCATCGATCATCTCAGAGCAACAACAGTCCGGAACGATGGAGGAAGTATATATGATGCCTCGAATGGAAAAGAGCTTTGACAATATAGAACGAATTATGGAGGAGATGAAAGCATCAATGGAGAAAACGGCAAACATGCTGGCAAATATGACAACAAACATGGCGGCAAACATAACCACGATGAGCGAACAGTTTCGATCCAAAGGAAAATCGCGATCCCAGCATCGTCAACATACGCGACCTTCAACAACATCTCAGAAGTCGTCGCCAACATCTCACAGTCCGCAGGCTTCAGTATCGGCTTCAAGCTCTAAAGCTTCGTCACGAAATGTTAATCCTCAATCATCTTCATCACAAATCTCTTCTCCCCGTTCGCAAACTGTATCGCAAGAGAAAAATATCAGTTCGCAATCGCGAACCCTAATTACCAGCTCACAATCGCGAACTCACTCTCTCAGTTCGAAATCGCAGAGTTCAACGCTATCTTATCCTTCCAGTTCGCAGAAATCGTCGCAGTCAACATCGTCCTTTATTTCTTCAAGTTCGCAGATGCGAACCACTTTTCCCAGTTCGCATTTGCGAACGACTATTCTCAGTACAAAGGGTTGGTCGCCATTGGCTTCTCCCAGAGCGCAAGTGTCCTCCGCATCCAGAACCGTCGACCCTGTAGAATCTGAAAAGGGCTTGTATGTTGCACAACCAGTCCCGGAACTGGAGCATGACGAGGAGAGTACTGAATCTACGGAATCTCCATCAACTATTCAGAAGGATGTGAACATGCCTATGAAGGAAGACAATGGAAGGTGTTCAAGTAAATTAGAACCGGTCCAAGTGGAGCCTCCCGTTTTGGCAAAGCAAGTGATGAAGGATAATTCACAGACTAGTGCCTTAGAAGGACTAGTTATCAATAATTCAGATGACAAGTTTGCGAGGGAAGAAAAAGAGAGGGTGATTACTGTTGACAGTCTCTGTACCAGGGGGAATTTTGATATGGGTGCAAAAGTGAATTGTCCTCTTGGACATATGCCGGGAATTGAAATATTAAAGCCTACCAAGAAGTTGGAGGGAATCCTCAGCTCATACACTGTTGTTACAGATGAACGTAACTTAGAGTCTTTCCTGGTAGCTGTGATTGGAAGGGTTCAACCAGAACTGGTTGGCGGGGAAATTTTCTCACAATTCACTTCTATGACTCTCGTACTGAAACTCATGCTGGACACTATTCTGGCTGCTAGTTGTGAAGAATTTGCTTATCACAATCCATCAGTTCCATTGCTTGGTCTGAAGCCTATTAGCTGGAGTCAACCATCCGCTGAGGATGCGTTCACAGTGGACCAATTGATGACTAGGAAAGGTGTGGCCCCAGTTCCTATGGGCACCCTTCCACAAGGCCAATTGATGAATGGAACATCTCTGTCATCTCATTTGGCTTGGGATGCTAATGAATACAAGATTGTCATGTTTGTATCCTAGGACTCCTCAGACATGGGACTGAAAGGGATGGATAATTTTGCTCTTGGTAGCAGTGTCGAAGAGAAGGTTGATGAAATAAAAGAGATTGGTGCTGTTGACAATTTTAAAAATCATGCAGATTCTGAAATAATCAAGTTCCTGGAAAAGATGTTGGAAGAAAAGCCAAGGTTTTAAGGAAAGATGCTGATGTTGGAATGTTATAACCTTTACAACAATAAGGAGCCTTATGCAGCCATGTCCTTGTTTCTGTTTCTCCCTGCTGTGAAGTACATATGGAAGAAAATTCAAGTGTTGAAGCTAAAGATCCAGAATGCAATGATGTATTGGGAAGGAAGAGGTGCCAGAATGAAGATGAAATCGAGAGTTAAGGCTGTTTCCTATCACCCACCTTGAGGACAAGGTGGTTGTCTAATTGGGGAGATATGATAGGAACCCATTAGTATAATAATACTAATAATAATAGAAGTATATTAAATAATTGTGAGTGTATTAAAGGGTCCTGGGCCAGGTACTAGTTAGTTTTGGGCTGGCCCATAAGTAAGTATAAATAGAAGGGAGGGAGAAATAAGAAGGTAGGCAGATTTTGGAATAGGAACTGGGACTCTTGGGAGAGATATGCACTCTCGAACTTGCCTCTATACTCCTTCTCTGAAATTTCTTCTGCTGTTGTGTAATTACCTAAGGATCTGAGGATTTCTCAGAATTCTTTGACCGAATCTACTACTGGTTTTGTTGTTTGGAACGATTCCTAACAAACAGCCTGGCTTCTCAGTTCAATGGATGCATCAATCGCCAAACCTCATATGTTTATGAAAACTGCAAAAGAGGTATGAGACTCTATCTAGGAAACTTATTCAGATCTTGAGAACTCTTCTCAGATCTTTGAACTCAAAACCAAATTGTGGCAATCTAAACAAGAAAATAGGGATGTCATTTCATACTATAATTAAATGGTATCTCTGTGGCAAGAATTAGATCAATGCTATGATGATGAAGAGTGGGAAAGTGCTAAGGATCTGGCAAGACATAGGAAAAGAGAGGAGAATGATAGGGTCTATATGTTCCTAGCAGGAATTAATAGGGATCTGGATGAAGTAAAGGGAAGAATACTTGGAAAAAAACCTCTCCCTTCAATCAGGGAAGTTTTTTCTGAGATCAGGATGGAAGACAGTAGGAAGAAAGTTATGTACAATACTCCAGTACATGGGGATGAATCTGGAGACTCTTCAGCAATGGTGGCCAGAAGTGAAGACAAGAAAAAACCCTGGTGTGATCACTGCAAAAAATTGTGGCACACTAGGGAAACTTGCTGGAAAATCCATGGGAAACCACCAGGAGCAGAGAAGAAGAAGTTTGAAAAGGTTCTACATATAACTATGGCTGAGACTCAACAAGAACCACAAGTCAACTCCCAACAACCTTCCTTCACAAAGGACCAGATAGAGCAACTCCTTAACTTTCTAAATACACAGAAAAATTCCAATCCTGAATCCTCCTCTTGTTCTTATGCCCAGAATGGTACCTCTTCATCATTCTTTTGTTCTGGAAAAACTAAAAGGACCTGGATCATTGACTCATGAGCCACAAACCATATGACCTGCATTTCAAATCTTTTCTTATCATATAAACCCTGTGCAGGGGACAAAAAGGTCAAAGTTGCAGATGGCTCCTTATCAGCCATTGCAGGGATGGGAAATGTTAAAATTTCCTCATATGTTAATCTCTCAAAAGTCCTACATGTTCCTAATCTATCCTGCAATCTTGCCTCTGTTAGTCAGTTAACTAAAGACCTTCAATGTTGTTATTTTTTACCCTTCTCATTGCATTTTTCAGGACATGGCATCGGGGAAGATGATTGGCAGTGCTAGGGAGGAAGATGGACTCTATATCTTTGATGAAGGGACTCAATCAAATAAAAGAGATCAAAAGAATGCTTGTTTGCAAACTGTTTCGTTTTCCAATAATAAAGAGTTGTATTTACTTCATTATAGGCTAGGACATCCTAGTTTTTATTATTTAAAAAAGATGTTTCCTCAGTTATTTCTGAATAAAGATGTGTCTTTGTTTCATTGTGATATGTGTGCACTTGCAAACATCATAAAAACTCTTATCTTCCCCAAAGTTATAAACCTACTAGTCCTTTTACTTTGGTACATAGTGATATTTGGGGTGCATCTTGAATACCAACTATAAAGGGAAAGAGATGGTTTGTAACTATCATTGATGATCACACATGAGTTACTTGGGTATTTTTAATCAAAGAAAAATCTGAAGTTGAAAAAGTGTTTAGGGATTTTTATGCTATGGTCCAAACTCATTTCAATACCAACATCAAAATTGTAAGAAGTGATAATGGCCGTGAATATTTTTCTCAAACCCTAAACAATTTTATTACTAAAAAAGGAATAATCCATCAAAGCTCTTGTATCAATACACCAGCTCAGAATGGAATTGCAGAAAGAAAAAATAGACATTTACTTGAAGTCACTTGTGCAATCATGTTTTCAACAAAAATACCAAAATATTTGTGGGGAGAAGCTGTGTTACATGCTACTTATTTAATTAACCGCATGCCATAAAAAAATTTAGAATTTAAAAGTCCTATCAATGCACTCCAGCATTACTTTCCTACAAACAGACTGGTTAGCACTCTTCCTTTGAAAATTATTGGTTGCACAATGTTTATAAAAAATCCAGATAAATCTGCAAGTAAGTTTGATCCTAGAGGAACAAAATGTGTTTTTCTAGGGGTTTCTTCCACTCAAAAAGGGTATAAATGTTTTGATCCTACAACCAAAAAAATGTTTGTTACAATGGATACTTTTTTTGTGGAAGACCAACCTTATTTTGAAACTCATCTTCAAGGGAGAGTTTAAGTGAAGATGATGTTCAAACAGTGCCACATATTCATGAAAACCTTAATTTTCTTGATATTAATCTGATGATCACTCCTTTAGAAATATAAGGACATCTGAAAATAATCAAGAATTAATAAATAATGAAATAAATACAACTGAACCAATTGGAAAAGACTAACAAACAAGTAAGTTCTTTGGCAAAGTTTATGAGAAAAGAGTTCCAAATCAAAGGATAGAGGAAGTCCAAGAACCTACAACTGTCCATGAATCTGACTCAATGACATGAAGTGAAAAAGGTAATACTTCTAGTGTCCTTGATCTTCCAATTGGTCTTAGAAAAGAAAGAAGAACATGTGTTAAATACCCTATCTCAAACCATGTTTCTTATTCTAGATTGTCCTCAGCTTTTGCTACTTTTACCTCTACTATTTCTTCTATTGCTATTCCCTTAACCATACAAGATGCTCTATCTAAACCTGAGTGGAAGAAGGCTGTTTTGGAGGAGATGGAGGCTCTTGAAAAGAATCAGACATGGAAGCTTGTAGAACTTCCTAGAAACAAACCAACAGTTGGTTGCAGGTGGATTTTCACTCCTAAGTTTAAGGCAGATGGAAGTCTTGAGAGATATAAGGCAAGGTTAGTAGCTAAGAGATACAAACAGACCTATGGTATTGACTACACAGAAACCTTTGCACCAGTTGCAAAGTTAAACATGGTAAGAATACTTTTATCCCTTGCTGCTAATTTAGACTGGCCACTTCAACAACTGGATGTAAAGAATGCTTTTTTGAATGGGAAACTTGAAGATGAAGTGTATATGAAACCCTTGGTTCAAAAGTATGCAATATAGAGAAAGCCTTGTATGGACTTAAACAATCTCCAAGAGCTTGGTTTGACAGGTTCACAAAGTTCATTAAAAGACAAGGGTTCAAGCAGGCTCAAGCTGATCATACACTATTCATGAAGTTTTCAGGCAAGGGGGAGATTGCCATATTAATTGTTTATGTAGATGATATTATCCTCGCAGGAAATTATCATACAGAAACTAAGAACTTAAAGGAAAAACTTGCCCATGAATTTGAGGTCAAGGATCTTGGAGAATTAAAATACTTTCTGAGAATGGAGATTGCCAGATCAAAGAAAGGAATTGTTGTCTCACAAAGAAAATATATTTTAGATCTTTTGCAGAATACTGGAATGAGTGCATGCAAACCAGCCGACACTCCAATTGATCCCAGTCAGAAGTTAGGAGATGTCAAGGAGGGAGTTCCAGTTGATACTCGACAATATCAAATATCGGTGAGAAGATTGATATATTTGGCACATACAAGGCCAGATATTGCATTTGCAGTTAGCTTGGTTAGTCAGTTTATGCATAATCCAGCCCGGGAACATCTTGATGCTACATACAGGATTCTAAGGTATTTGAAAAGTTGTCCATGGAAAGGATTATTCTTTAGAAAGGGCAACAGTAGAACTGTTGAAACCTTTACAGATGCAGACTATGCTGGCTCAATTACTGATAGAAGATCTACTTCTGGATATTGCACCTATGTATGGGGAAATATGGTGACTTGGAGAAGTAAGAAACAGAATGTAGTTGCTAGAAGTAGTGCAGAATCTGAATACAGGTCTATGGCTAATGAAATTTGTGAACTACTTTGGATCAAGAGTGACGTCAGAATTGAAAATGAAGATGGATCTACCTATGAAGTTGTATTGTGATAACAAGGCAACCATTAGTATTGCTCATAATCCTGTGCTACATGATCGTACTAAACATATTGAAGTGGACATACACTTTATCAAAGAAAAGATTGAAGTTGGAATTGTGTGCATACCATTCATACCTACTAAAGAGCAAACAACTGATATCTTCACAAAGGGATTATTCAGACCAGTGTTGAGCTACTTATAAGCAAGTTGGGAATGTATGATATATATTCACCAACTTGAGGGGGAGTGTAGAAAATGTTACATTTATTATTTATTTTTAGATAGTGTACGTGTGCAGCTGTATAGATAAGATTGTAGAGTTGTTAGACTACATTAATTAGTAGATAAGTATTGTAGTTAGATAGATCCTATTTTTTAGGATCTCCACGGGGAGTTTGTTTATTGTACTCTATATATATATCTTGGCCGGATGACTCAGTTAATATCAAGGAAGTTTTATTCCTAAAACCTACATAACAAGATCTCTTCTGTCCTATAGTGTGGCCTTAACAGGAGACTCGCCCACATCCTTTTCTTATATATTCTGGTGGAATCTGAATCTGCATTCTTTATTTTGAAGAGTAAATCTTGAACTAACCAGCATCCATCTATATTTCATTAATTATTTCCATTCCTTTTTACAGCTTTGTGATGGACCTATTGCTGCCTTTACTGTTCTTCACAATATTAACTGTAATCATGGGTTTATATATATAACGACACAAGTAAGATTTTTTTGTTTCTCTTTTTATGTGCTACATTTCTTTTTCTAGTGAAATTCTCCTTAGCTGATTGAGGTTTTATAATTCAAGGGTGCTCTAAAGATTTGCCATCTTCCATCTCTACTATCCTATGACAACTATTGGCCAGTTCAGAAGGTATAATCTGTCATCCTTTTGTCTTTCACATTGCATTATCCGTCTATACGAAGGCTACATTATACCTTATGATTATCTCGATTAACACTAGTCCCCTTGGTTCATCTCATATTCTTGGATTCTGTTGGTTTCTAAACAATTACATAAAACCACTGTATGACTTTTTGGCATTTGAGTAGTTTAACAGATTTTGAGTTAGCTTTATATTATATACTCCCTCTGTCCCAATTTGATAGTCTCATTTCTTTGGGCACAAGTTTTAATAAAGTGGTTGAAAAGGTAAAAGTTGTGGTTGAGATTTGAGTATAATAAAGTGAAATGATATGGACCACATCTTTCTTTCCAAAAGGGAAACAGGACCATCATTTTGGGACATCCCAAAAAGGAAATACAGGACTATCATTTTGGGACGGAGGGAGTATGAAGAATATCAAGGCTTTCTTAGGCCTCGTCTGGGGGTTGGTTTCAGTCTCTTTGAAAATAAAAAACCAGATTTTTGAAACCATCAAGTTGACTGTTTTTCCTTGGGAGTTCGGTAAATTAACATGACTAGTACTAGTACGAGTAGTTTTGGTTTATTGTACAATGTATACCATGCAATGTTTAATGTCATGAAACAAAAATTTTGATAGGATTCCGGCTAGTCAAAATAATAATAATAGATTCTATGGGCAAGTCTATTCTAGGAAGTCAAAGTTGACTAGCTAGTTATTAGTTAGGAGCGGTTAATAACTAATAACTACCTTCGTTTGTGAAGGATATATATATAGAATAAGACTGCAGAGGGAAGGCAGGCTGTTTTTGGACATTTTGTCTGGACTGGGAAGTTGGAGTTCTATCTCCTTCTTTGGGACTATTGTATACTGTTTACCTACATTGAATAAGATTCAGTTTCATTGCTTTGCTCTTAATTCTCCTGTGAATTAATCCTGTAATTGCGGAAGTCCTATCAAATTTAAAACTGGTAATCACCCAAGGGGTCCTTAGATAGTCACATGACTCACATGTTTTCAGCTGCACAACTTATAGTTCACATAAAGTATTTACACGTTTTAAATTATGATCCGTAACCCCCTATTTGTAAATTTCCATCATTTGCAATGGAGTCAAAGACTCACTATTTTTGGCTTGGGAATATGATGGAATAAAGCAAAATGGCTAACTAAACTGTCTACGCTTCTTTTTTATGAAGAACTAGTCAGTCCATGCAATTTTCACTATTGGTCATCCAGACACCGTCTCTCTGTGCTTTAGTACAGGGGTACGACTGCGTACATCCGGCCCCCTTACCTCTACCATAGGTGGGAGCCTTTGAGGCACTTGGGTAATGATGATGATGATGATGAACTTTTTTGTGTGTGGGTGCGGTCATTTTGTGCAGATTCCATTGAAGGGGACTCCACATCAAGTCACTTATTTTGCTGACAAGAATTTATATCCGCTAATAGTTTCAGTTCCGGTGAGCGTTATGATGTGCTATTCCTACCATTTACTGCTGTGCAATATTCAAGATTCTTTTGGCATAGATGATGAAACATTTCCTGAAATTTGAACAGGTTCTTAAGCCTCTTAGTCAAGTAATTTTATCTCTAAATGATCAAGATGCTGGTCTGCAAATCGATCATGATAGTTTAAATTATGAAGGAAATTATCATATTGAGGAATTTGAGATTCGTATAATGGAGCCTGAAAGAGCTGGTGGACCATGGCAGACAAGGGCAACCATTCCTATGCAAAGCTCTGAGAATGCTCTGACTGTGCGAGTGGTTACACTACTTGTAAGTGCTAGTGCACTTTGATACTACAAACTTGTTCGATCCAATAAATTCAATTAAAACAATATTTTTAGAAATGTATATAGGTTGCCATTACATTAGAGTTCACCTTGCCGAAATTGAAAAGTTGTTCCTTAACCAAACATGACTTTTTGCGGGATGGAAGGAATAGTTCTTTGTTACTCTCTTACCATTCATTGTCACTTTGTGGCTTCTTGGGAATTATCTATTTTTCTTTTATCAAACTTAGAATATATTTCCTTAACTTTTCTATTCATGCAACATAAAATGTTTTATGTTATGTTCAGAATCCCCCCTCCAATTTTATTCTTATAAAAGTTTGATGCTAAAATCTGGTTAAATTGGGAACAAATTATTTTGTGAGGGTGATAAGGTGGCAACTTTTGTGAAAGAGGGAGTGTGGGGCGTGGGCCATATTTGTGAATGGGTCCCACTTTTGGTATGCCAATGATGAGCTAATATGTTAGAATAACTTTTCTTTAGTAAAAATTTCCATTAATGCTACCAGAATACCACTACTAGAGAAAATGAAACTCTTTTGGCGGTTGGGACGGCTTATGTGCAAGGCGAGGATGTTGCAGCAAGGGGCCGTGTGCTTTTATTTAATGTTGACAGGGCTAATGACAGATCTCAGATTTCGGTACTTTCTGTATCATTTGGCTCTGCAATTCTACTTTGTCTACCCAAAATAAATTATTTATTGTTTCTTTAACATCAACATTTCTCAGGTCAAGGAAATCTTTTCCAAAGAGTTCAAGGGTGCTATTTCTGCTCTAGCTTCACTTCTTGGTCATTTGTTGATAGCTTCGGGCCCTAAAATTATCTTACACACATGGACGGGTTCTGAACTTGTTCCCATTGCCTTCTATGATGTCCCCCCTCTTCATGTTGTGAGCTTGAATATTGTATGTACCATTTCGTTATGTTCTACTTGATTTTCTCAAAATGCATATCACACTTATATGTTTTACTCGACCTTCTTGATGCACATGTTTTATCATCTTCCATGAGGGTCTCTTCGCTTGCGTGATTCCAACAACCGGCGGGGAGCACCTCAGTATATGAAATAAAAAGAGTTCTTTGATTCTCATTCGAAAGATTGATTTGGAGATTCTCTGATCTAGTTCATGGTTTATTAGAAGTAGAAAACGGCTCTGTTGGGACTTCATGAACAGAACAAAATTGTAGGCAGTTTGAAAACGATTTCTTTACTAGGATGGAAAAGTGGAAAACGGATCAAACTAGGATATATATACTAGGGAACAAAGCAGGGAAGAAAATGTAGAGGAAATTTGAAATGAAATAAATTACAGAACATAATAAAAGAGACTTAAATCCAGTATATTTCTTTGCGATATTTATTCATATTCAATTTATTATTTATATTATTCATATTAAGGAAGTTTCAAGTACTTGTTCCACTTTTCCTTTTTGAAAAAAGTGCAAGTGCTATAAATGTACTTTTTCATATTCCCGCTCCTACTTTTCACCTTTATGAACTATGCAATACCTCTGTCTTCAATTTAAAAAGAGGGCAAAAGCTTGGGACAATAAGCAATCGAATACGGAGGTAGTAAAAACTAAGAAGTTGAAATGCATAGCAATTAAAATATCAATTCATCATACTTCATTCTTAAAAATTTAAAAAAAATTGATAGAACAAAATAAATCTGGCATTTTTTCTTTACCCCTAGCATTTTATGCTGTCCTCACATACCTAAAAATAGAATATCGTACCCCCACGAGTCATAGACTTGGGGTTCCTTGGTAGTTTTCAATGAGTAACATTGTTCAGTGAATAAGTTAGTTTGCACCCCGCCTAGGGGTGAAACGCCGTTTTTTTTAACCTGGTAAATGCTCGTATTTCCAGCGTTTTGGGTAGAAAACGCCGGAAAACAAACATCCCCCAGTCTGTTATACCATAGGATGCCCCCATTAAGTTTATTCTCTTTAGTATTTAAGTTTTTAAATATAAATAAGTTGATGGTTCATTACTACACAATGTCGCCATAGGTGAAGAATTTTATACTTGTTGGAGACATTCACAAAAGCATATACTTCCTCAGTTGGAAGGAGCAAGGGTCTCAACTTACTCTATTGGCAAAGGATTTTGGTTCACTAGATTGTCTATCAACAGAGTTTTTAATCGATGGAAGCACCCTCAGTCTAGCGGTTTCGGATGATCAAAAGAATGTTCAGGTGCGTACCCCAACCCCTAAGGAATTGTAGCTTTTGAGTATGCAGAAGAATATACATTGACGTCACTACTCATCCAGAGCTGTTCTAACTGGAGTTCCTATTTGGCAGTTTGTTTTTCATATTCATAGATCTCACATACCAAAGAAACATATCAAGACTTTTGGGGTTAAGGCTTAGATGTTGTTGTTCTTGCTATCAGTCAGATTTTATTCAGCACTAGTTTAATGACTTAGTTGACTGTGCTGATTTAATAGTTGATTATTGAAAAAATAGTGTATAAGAGCCAGTTTGGTAAGGCTTAAAACATCTGATTCTGCTGAATATTCGGGGTCATCAGGAAAAGGGAACAAACATAGTGTGTGTATATAAGAAATTGCTCAAAATAGGAGTAAAACGTTTTGGAATTCCAAATTAAGAGTACTTTGTTTTTATGCCCGTTAATGTCAATGTGGAAATAAATTATCAGGATGGCAGTAATGTACTCCTATTTAGGGGAAAAAGCATAGTGCTCCTGTTGTGGAATTTTACATCGTTTTTATTCCTACTTCGGGAATTTTCACTACGTATATGTATATCTAAATAAATATCAACTTTAGCAATAAGGTTTGCTCTGAAAAAAGTAACCGCTACAGTGATGGTATTCATTAAATCCCGGTTCCTTCTGCAAAGTGAAATAAGGTATTGTTTGGGGAAATACATTTGGTGAAAGCTGGCATGGTAAACCGAAAGTGAAGCCTTCGGTACAGGATTTTAGCCATTTCTTTGTGTTGCTAAAATTGAAGTAAATGACATTTATGTCATTTTTAAATACTTTTTCTTTAATTTTAATATATGCTTTGATTTGGCTGACTACTTGACTGCACTTTGGAATGCTTTAGCCTTTAGGCCATGATTATTGACAAAATGCAGATATTCTACTACGCCCCAAAGTTGGCAGAAAGTTGGAAAGGACAGAAGCTTCTGTCCAGGGCAGAGTTCCACGTGGGCGCTTATATTTCCAAGTTCTTGCGGTTACAATTGCTTCCAAATTCAACTGACCGAACCGGAACTGACAAAACAAATCGCTTTGCTTTGTTATTTGGCACACTGGATGGGGGGGTTGGATACATAGCGCCTTTGGATGAACTCACTTTTCGCAGGCTTCAGTCTTTGCAGAAAAAACTTGTGGATGCTATTCCTCATGTGGCAGGATTGAACCCCAGATCGTTCAGGCTGTACCGGTCTAATGGAAAGGCTCACAGGCCCGGCCCGGACAACATTGTTGATGGTGAATTGCTTTTCCAGTAAGTGGGTGTGGGGATGTGGGGTATCCTATGAGCTTTAGTAATGGATACTTTCTCTGAGTTGAAGTCAAATTAACCCACGAGCTTTAATAACATTTACTTCGTCAGAGGTTAGGTCAAATTACTGAATGTCACTCGAGGTTTCTCAAAATTACAAATATAAACCCCCTCCATTAGTCAGTGTTTCTGCATACAACTCTCTTACCATTTAAAGTTTATTATATAGTGATGAAAGCATTTCACATTTGGTTCCACTTTTCATCCTCCTATTTTTGATACTTTTAGCCTTCTGGTTACTTACCTGTCCACTGGGTAAGTGATCATTGTCGTGGAACCAGACGTGGAATATATTGTACAATGATGTTAAACAAGAATGTAACAGGTCAGCTCGTACTATTATCATTTCATTCTCAGCTTCATTGTGAAATGGAATGAAAAATCAATAAATAGCTTCTTAAACTCGACTGTTGTTTGGTATTTAATTAATTTGGAGTAGATTAATTAATATTTTATAATCCTCTCAAGCAGAGGGTATGTATCCCCTTCCATTCCATCTTTCTTATAAGAAATACCCATATTTACAAATCTTTGTTGTGGGGTTGTGGTGCAGTTATGAGATGCTGAGTTTGGAGGAACAGGTTGAGATTGCTCACCAGATTGGAACTACACGCCCTCAGATAATGTCTAACCTTAATGACTTGACCATTAGCACCAGCTTCTTGTAATTCTTTTTCCTTTACAACAGCACTCTTCTACTTTGTACCTGAAGCCTGGAAGTTGCTTCAATCCCCTTCCCTCCAGCATCTGTATCCTTTAGGAAGGATCAAGCCCTCCAGCACTGATAGTCTAATACTGTAAATATAATTTTTTGTTTCCAATTTTTCTTTCCAGTTTTCCCAATATAAGATGCTAGAGGCAATCTCTGATTATGATTTTACTTCTATATTTTTTTAGAAATTTCAACTTTTCCAATATGCTCTCAAATATTATGATAACTAATATAGAATGTCAAACTCAGGTAAAATGGTTAGTGATTGCTTTGTTTTGACATTAAACGTGTCTATTCTTAGCATGAGGGTGTGGTTATGGATGGACTCGGGTCCGGGTCGGGCCTAGGCTCGGGCGGGCCGGCGGGTCAGAAATGGTGGACCCGGGACCGGCCCGGGTAACCACCGGGTCCGGTCCGGGTCCGGGCCGGGTCGGGCCGGGCCCATTATTATTATTTTTTTGTTTTCCTCTTCCTAGTTAACCCCCCTCCCACCCCCCAACCCCCCAAACCACCCCAAATGGGCCAAAATACCCAGCCCAACCCGAAAATTAAAAAAAATTGAAAAAAAAATAGTTTTTGGCCCGAACCGGGCCCGGGCCCGACCGGGTCGGGCCTTGTTTTGGGTGACCCGAGCCCGGACCGGAAAACCCACGGGCCGGGCCTACCCGGACCGGTCACTGACCGGGCCTACCCGGACCGGTCACTGACCGGGCCTACCCGGACCGGTCACTGACCAGGCCACTGGGTCGGGCCGGGCCGGAACAGTACCGGTCCCGGGCCGGTTCGGGGTCGGCCCACCCGGCCCGAGTCCATCCATAGGTGTGGTGATGAATTTGATATTTGTAAGGTCTAATTTGTCCCCTTTTCTTCAACTTTTCTGATTAATGATATCACCTTCTAATGTTTCAATCTTAATCATACAAAAGTACAAAACACAACAAACATTAGCAATACTGATCGTTTAACAATAAATAATACTTGTTTTATTCTTATTAATACAAAAAGGACATTAGCAATACGGATCTTTTATTATTGAATGCGTTATTGTTAGTTTTGTTGCTAAGAAAATATTACTACTTCCCAATATACTTGCCTTATTTTTCTTTTTGGATTATCTCAAAATAAGTGTTATATTTCCTTTTTTGAAAAGAAATATGTGGTTCATAGAATTTCACTTTATTGTATTGTATTAAATTTGCAATCACAACTTTTACTTTTTCGATCACTTTATTAGTAATTGTGTCAAAAGACACATAAAATGAGACGGAGCTAATAATAAGCTTAAAACAAAGAGGGTGAACTATTAACTTGAATATGTATATATAGTCAATTAAACAAATAAATTGGACAACACTATAAGTAGGCATGGATCGAGCCTGGGACGGGTCAGGGCGGGACTGGGGTTTTGGGATGAAGGCCTGGTATCAGCCTGGGTTGGCACCGGGACCGATTTGGGCCGGGCTACCCCCCAGGTCTCGGGTCAGGTTAGTTTGGGTCGGGCCATTTTTTTTTGATAATTTAGTTTAAAAATTAATTCAATAAGTGCTATACAATAAAAAGTTAAAGTATATTTATTTGAAATATGAACTACAATCGAGAATTGAGAAAAATTTAAACCATCAAATACATTTCACAATCGGTTGTTTCCTCCATGAAGTGGCGGGTGGGGCGATGCTAACTTCTTGAGTTCTACGTTTGGACTTCAACCAATCGTGGATAGGCTTGGACAAGGGCCTGGTCGGGCCTCCGGTTTGTAAATGATGGGCCTGGGACCGGCTCGAGGTAAGGACGGTTCCGGTTTGGGCTGGGCCACCTGCCCGGGTCACGGGTCGGGCCACCCGCCGGGCTGGGTTAGGCCGGGTAATTCTATTTTTTTAACTTATTTATTTGAAATGAAATAAGAACTACATTTGGCAATTGAGAAAAAAATACAATATGAAATACATTTTGTAATCAATCGGAATTTCCCGGTCCTTTCACTCATTTGGCTTTGTCACATGACTTAATATGCTTCTTGGTCATCCCGTATCCGCGTGAAACCCCCAAGCTACATTTTTTCCCGCACCATTTGCAAGTTGCGTACCACATCCCGGTCCTCGGGTCCTTCTGCGTATAATAATTATACGTGATAACGGTATATTGACTTTCCATCTTTAAAATGGTAGATATAATAATTCTATAAATACTAGAAAGTCTAGAATAGATGGAGATGAAGATGGAGAATGGAGATTGGAGATTGGATATTGGCGAAGATGTGTATAAAAATGTTCGAAAATAGGAGTATTTATAGAAAATTTTGTACCCCCACCCCACCCCCACCAACGACTATATAGCCGTTTGGGCGCGCCTTTGAGGCTTGAGCCTTTGATTTCATTTTTTTTTGTTTATTTTAGTTTGAAATTTTTGAATAATCTACATAATGTAAAATTAATTAATTTGAGAAGTGCTACATATAAAAAAATGAACGTATATTTATTAGAATTTAGAAATATGAACTACAAGTTTACAAGTTACAATTAGGGATGGACCCGGGCCGGTCCAGTTCCGGTTCCGGGTCAGGCCCGGGCGGGCTTTTTTTGCAAATCCTTGGGCCCGGAACCGGCCCGGGTTGATACCGGGCCCGGTTCAATGCCTTTTTTTTGCTTTCTTGTTATCCCCTGACCCCCCCACCCCCACCCCCCAAACCTCCCCAAAACACCCAGCCCTACCCTAGGAAAAGAAAAAAAATTGAAAAAAAAAATGACCCGGGCCTGGCCCAAACCGCCCGGGCCGGTTCGCCCAAAACTGGGCCTGAGCCCGGCCCCCGCCGACCCGCCCAAACGGGCTAAAAGCCCGGAACCGGCCAACCGGCCCCGGTCCGGTCCGGGCCCGCACAGTAGCGGGCCGGGCTGGTTCCGGGCCGGCCCAATTTAGTCCATCCCTAGTTACAATTGAGAATTGAAGGAAAAATTAAAACATGAAATACTAATCAATCAGAATCTCTGGCATAGGTAGAGCCACCATCGGTTGATTCATCCATAAAGTTTTGGGATGAGGTGATGCCAATTTCTTGAGCTCTACGGGCCACCTTCAACCAATCATGGTAGCATATAAGCGTCTCAAGAGACTCTACGCTCAACCTCGTTCTAGATTGCGTTAGGACATTGCCGAGCGAACTAAATTCTTGTTCCATGGCAACTGTTGAACATTCTTTCTTTTCCCTTCCACGAGTTTAGAACGTCAAAATCGTCATTTTCTTCAAAATCAACATCATATGTTAAATACAAAGAAATCTCATTAATTGTGCTTTGTTGAGTAGCGGGAGTTGTTTTTGTTTTTTTAATAAGATTGGCAAATGTAGATTTCAAAATTGATTTTCCTTTAAATGAAGATGTTTGTGTCGAGGGAGGGGGCGCATTGCCATATTGTGCATGAAACTCATTAAATAATGCATAAAATATATCACTAGCAATTATTTTATGTACTAACAATCAAAGTATTATATAAAATGTACTAATTCGTACTAAAATGTACTAACAATTCGAACTAAGTAGATATAAATTGTAATATGTATGTATTTAGTAGATATAAGTAGATAATAAGTAGAGATTAAGTAGATAACAAATATAAGTAATATAATATATGTATTTATAAATAGATAATTAATATATAACTATATAAGTAGATAAGAAATATAAGTAATATAATATATGAATTTATAAGTAGATAAATAATATAAGTAGATATATAATATATTGGAGAATAAGAGAATGTGAGAAGATGAAGATAATTAGAGAGTAGGATTTAGGAAGAGTTGGAGAAGAGATATGGAAAAATGTTTAAGATTAGGAGTATTTATAATTTTTTTTACCACATCCCCACCCCTCCCCCACCCCCCAAACTGCCCGGACCCCCCTGCCAGCCCACCCCCAACGGCTCAATTGGCCCAAAAACAATTTTTTTATAAGTACCCGTTGTGACCCGGACCCGGGCCCGACCCGGCCGGGCCGGGTCACGTTTTTCCGGAACCGAGCCCGACCCCCCGCTGCCCCCCGGTTCGGGTCTACACCCGGTCCCGGACCACCAGACCGGGCCGGTCCCGGGCCCGCACAGTAGCGGGTCAGGCCGGGTCACGGGTCGGGTGGCCCAAACCGAATCCACCCCTAATCGTGGAAGCAAACAAGTGTCTCAAGAGATTTTGCGTTCAATCTCGTTCTATAATCCGTTAGGACGTTGTTGGCCGCAGTAAATTCTTGTTCCATGACAACTGTTGATACCGACATTGCTAGCACTTCCTTAGCCATCTTTGATAAAACCGGGAATGTTCTTTCTTTGTCCTTTCACCACTGCAGAACGTCAAAGTCATTCCCGTCTTCATAGTCAACAGGAAACATTAGATGTAAAGAAAGCTCATTAATCGAGTTTTGTGCAACAACGGGAGTTGATTTACTTTTTTCATAAGATTGACAAATGTAGATTTCAAAAACGATTTTTCTTTGGATGAAGAAGGTGTTTGTTCATGAAACTCATTATATAATTGATGAAATAAGTTACTAACCTCGTTGTATTGCTCTTTAGGACCTATGAGCTTATCTTCGTACATAGGTAATGGACAAAAAACGAAGCATAATAGTACTCTAAACATTGTTGAAAAGCATTAAGTTTGAAACGAGGGAGGTTTAGGTTGCTCCTAAATGCACCCAAACATTGGGACTCAGGGCTTCTCAGTCTTGTCCCGCTGGGTTGGGCTGGCAACCCCTTTGGGGCCGGCCCTTAAGTTAGGCCGCCGCTTAGGGCGTGGTTAGGTTTAGGTTTTAGGGAGGTAGGTTTAGGGCCCTGCTTAGGGCGCCGTTAGGCTTAGGCGCCGCTTAGGGCGCCACTTAGGGTGTTAGGTTTAGGTTTAGGGCGTCCGTTAGGTTTAATGTTTTCTTAATAGCCGCCAACACAATATTTTAAACACCGACACAATATTTAGGTCCCTCATTGTTATTTTCCATTCTTTATCTGATTGGGAAGAACATGTATACTATTTTCTTAAGATTACGAACACTATTTGGAAATTTTTCATATAGGTTATTATGACAAGAGGAAAATATGAAGGGGGGCTTATTTTCACCTCTTTCTTATTATTACAACTTGCCAATGCCTACTACTAGTTGAGCAGTAGAACTGTAGCAGTGCCGTGTCCCTGTGATCAAAGATAAAAACACAAAAAAACTCAATAGCATAACACATTTTATCATTTGAAA